CTGGCTGCGATCTCCATTGCCGCTCAAACTCACACACGAGTCCCTTAAGAAGAGAGCTCTGATACTAAATTGTTGGTTTCTTGAAATGAGAAAGATGAGAAAAACTAAAATTTCTTGCTTTAGATTGATAAGAAATCAATCCTAATTCAGCTATTCTAATCAATGGTCCCATATGTTTATCCATGAGAAAAGCAAGGAAGATTATATCTTAAGGGACCTTACAACATAGCCTACATCTCAGCTATGCAAGGTGGAAAATAGTGGGGTAATGTCATGGCTAATAAATTCCAAAATAATGAAAAAGCAAATGATTTTATATATGACAACCCTTGTTACAATATTGAAAATGCATCCCCAACTTAGAAATCGATAACATTCTCAATAAGATCACCATGATAATTTTTTGCTATTTAAATCATAATTTATAATAATAAGACAAATTTGATGAAATAGGAAATGCCCATATAACAGTTAGCAATACATAAAATGGAATGAGAGATGATGTTCATCTGAAAATCTTAAGCATGAAGCCTCTACGCAATATTTGTGAGTCTTCTTTGAGAAGAAAATGTTGAGAAAAATAATAGTTAAGTACTCAAAAATCCATTAAACTCTAAAAATGGCAACTCTACCCTTGTAGCTAGCAGCTCCAATTCAATCATAGGGTTGATCGATACAAGATGACCAAATTGGTATGAACTTTGTCAGAAGCCAAGACAGACCTGTGACAATTACTAGAAGCTATACGGAATGCCCCCTTACCATAAATCAAGGAAAGCATGAAATCATGAAATGCATGACAACATGATCACCAACGAGAACCTAACATCATCTGAGGAGCAAATTGAACTCCTTCAAAAATTGTCTCAATGACCACCAACGTCTCAACAAATCATACAGTCTACTAGATTTGTGATGAGCTCGACTTTTGCTGTTAAAAAAGGATAACTCTTTGAACAAGCTGATAATTGTCGACTCAGTTGTTTTTTATCACATTATTGGTGATGTTATGATTTTCCATGAATATAATCATGATAGAGAACCTCATTGTTTAAAGTGCAGATAGATCCTTTTATAGTTGCTAGCATTGGAACCGTCGTGCTTATAAATATATGCTTTATATTTCAAAATTGGAATGCAACCTTCTTCCTATCAACAACATCCTTAATTTTGTTACTAACTTCCGCCAAAATTAATGTGAATTTAAAGACTTGGATTCAAGGAAGAGGTTGGCAATGCTAAGATGGTTGGTGGTCTCTAACTACTCAAAAAATAACTCGAGTGGAAGTTAATAGAAAATGATTAGACAAAATTTAATGATGCTTTACTGGATAAAGCTGAATATATTGGCATGCATCATAGAAAAAAAGGAATGAAGTGAAGTGTGCTTGAATTTATAGCACATTGGATGGAAATAAAGTGAAATTCCAAGAGATTGGGATTGAGTGCTTAACCTTCCTTAAAAAAAAAAATAAATGGACGATTTAAAGCAAATGATATGTTTAAACACATATTTGAGATTAAATAAGATAATTTTTTAAAGCATGGTAAAAGGGAAAAAAGTGTCAATTAGTGGCTAAGACTTTGATTGTTAAGAAGGCGGATAATAGACATCAGAATCATGAAATGAACATTTATAAATAGGAGCATTTACACATACCATACAATTCTTATGTATTTATATATCCAACACATAAATATTTATATTTACATGACCACTCAAATTTTAACATCAAATCAAAAATACCATCATCATTAACTTTTTTTAAAAGTGAAATACACTTTTTTATGCATAGTATTATGACACCAAAGTGTTATAAGTATAAATATCAAACTCTAGGTGTTAGATTTGTAAATACATAAGAATTGTGTGTTATGTATGCAAATTTATATCATCTTTAGTTGTGCCTCATACTTAGATAACTCATAGCTATTAATTCTTTACATATAAGGAATCATAAGAGAATTTAAAAGACATAATTATTTTGATAAATTAAGAAATTTTTATGAGTTTATGTTGCAAAGTAGGAACAAAAAAAATATTAGTAAACTAATTTTTTGGTGGAGAAAATGACATGAGTGAAAGCCCTGCAAATGATTTGGAGACTAAGACATTTCTGCTGGGAATTTTATCATAAACAACGTAGATTAAGATTGTGGACTTCCGGCATGGCATGGTAGGACACACTAATATCAAGAAATTAGTTATTATTAAGGGGTTTGAATAAGATAGCAAAGTTGGGTTTGAAATGTACATTGGTGAGGTTTGGGAGTTGGCGGGGATGGAAAAAATATTACATTAGGACTCCTAACGTAGAGCTACGTTCGGATTGGGATATTCGACTATGTTACGGGAATATTTCATCTGCATTATTCGTAAAAATGATGTGTTATTCCAGTATTATATGGTGTTATTCGATTATTTTGTGGAGTTATTGGAATATTTCATCGGGTTACTTGATTTGAGACTATTTTATTCGGCATATTACCCGTGTTATTCCAATTTCCACTATGTTATTGGAAGGAATATTTCATCTGCATTATTCGTAAAAATGATGTGTTATTCCAGTATTATATGGTGTTATTCGATTATTTTGTGGAGTTATTGGAATATTTCATCGGGTTACTTGATTTGGGGCTGAATTTGAGACTATTTTATTCGGCACCCGTGTTATTCCAATTTCCACTATGTTATTGGAATAACACAGCCCCAACTCAAGTAATGCGGGGGAATATTTCAATAACACTTCAGCCCCAAATCAAGTAACGCAATGGAATATTCCAATAACACCGCAAAATAATCGAATAACACCATATAATACTCGAATAACACATTATTTTTACAAATAACGCAAATAGAATATTCTCATAACACAGTCGAATATTTCAATCCTAACGAAGCTCTACGTTAGGAGTCCTGATGTAATATTTTTCCGGCGGGGGTGTGTGGCAGGGATGTGTCCCAAAGGGATTGACAAAAGGTGGTGCAATAATTTACAAGTTGACATGTTATCCACATAATTGACATTTACAAAGCTATGGGTTAGGGGTATAGGTGAAAGATGGGTCAGGGATTGTTATTACATGGTGTGAAGTAAATGGTAGCCAGCAGAAGTCAGTTAGAAGGCAACTGATCGTTATGATCGTTTGAGTTACATGACTTGGAAGTATCGGTTGTGACAAGTAGGCAGAGTGTTAGTTTGCCTCAAGTTACAAGCTTCATGATTAATTAGTTTTTCAAACAATTCATCAAGGGTGGCAATGGTACTGCATCATGAATAGCTTCACAAAGTATTTTATAGTTATTATTGAGGTCCCTTTAAAATTTTGATGATGAGATTCTTGATATTGATTGGAGCATTAAGTATGGCTCGATAATCAGCTTTAGATTTAATAGTCTAAAGATATTTTATGCTCCATTAAGTCCTACTAACAAGAGATTGAAGCTGTTCCTTCATCTAGCTCATGCCATAATGGGAGGCTCTATAATAGGTGACGGCAAGTATATAAGATTTAAATGATGCCTTTTGTCACAGTTATGAAAGCTATGAGATTTAAAGTGAATGATCCAACTATGATGTTCAGACTGAGATTATCTCGGTTGGTTCGATCTATGAGATCAATAAAAACAAGACCCATAAGGTGATTATGAAATTCAAATTTTCAAAAGGTGTAGTTTTTGTTGGGGAGACAAGGAATGTGAGAAGAACTTTAAAAGTTATTTTTGATTCTATTCTTTGATGAAGATATTATTAGACAGACACACATTATAGTGAAACTATCATGATAATTACAAATCCATTATAACCATTATAAATCAAAGAGTTATAACAAATCACAAAAATTAGAGAACAAATTAAGATATCCTATTACTAACAATGATAGTAATTTATAAACTTGGCGATTGTATTCATATCACTGCAATAATTTTATCATTATATGTAGAATACTGCTCCTGCAAACCCATCAGGCAAGCCAAAATAATCACATGCATCTCTTATTGATGGGTGGAAGAAAGAGCTTCAAATTGTTAGGGAAAAGAACACATTTCAAGCCAGATAAATGATGCATGAAATCCAAAATCCCTTGAAAAAAAAGGGTCCTCTCTTTGGGGTACAGATGTCTGCTACCTACATTTCAAATTAAAACACTTGTATGATACTAGCTGATATGATAAAACAATCATAATTATAGGGTGGAGAACCTTCGGCCAAAGGTTTGAAAGACATGTCTGATATTCCAATTTGTTCTGAAAAAAGAAACACATTATTGATGAAATATCAGTAGGAACTTACAATCTTTTGCATCATTTTGCTTGAGGATGAGAGGCGATGAAGTCGACGGCGACGTCGATGGAGGTAATTTTGTCCGCTTCGTTGTCGGGAATCTCGAAGCCAAATTCTTCCTCAAGGGCCATAACGATTTCGACGGTGTCTAAGCTGTCCAGTCCAAGATCACTTTGGAAATTAGCCTTTGGAGTCACCTGCACAAAACATTCAAAATTTTTTAGCTCGGGGTGATTCTAGGCCCCACAAAAAAACAAGCTTGAAAATTTGCAGTTTGTTGAACAGGAGTTGTTCAGCAAACTACAATGTTTTGGGGCAATTTGGCTACAAGATTTGATTCAAGAAAAACTAAGTAATTCCTGTGGAATTTTAATTTAGTATATCTTGAAAAGATTAAAGCATAAAAATTATTAAATTGTTATAAATTATTCAGTTATTTGTGTTGGAATTTAAGATTTGTGAGAGAGTGAAATCCTTTATTATGTTAAATCCTGAGTAGTGGGATTTAATCAATAATGAGACTGAAACATGATTTAATGATTTGTCATAACAATAGATTTTAAAATCCCATAATTCTATTTGACAGAAGTTAAGCTAAACCTTGTTTAAATACTGCCTAAAATATGATACAAACGGCACCTTAAACTAAAGGGCCGTTTCAAATCACTTTTTTTTTTCTTGCGTATGTTATAAAATCCTTAATTATTTTTTAAAAACACTTAAAATAACTTTTAGTGTTTTAAATTTAAAAAACAAGTTAATTTGTTTTTTAAAATGAAAAATAAAAATATGAAAAAAAATATACTAAACAAATATGTTTTTAAAATAAAAGCAAAAAATAAAAATAAAAATAATCCCAAACAAGCACTAGCATATTCAATTAGAAAAGAAATCACAAAAGGAAACCTCTAGTAAGGTCAAGTTTAAAGTTCTTCGTACACTAATGAAAAGTAAAATCTAATACCCATTAAATATACTAGTTTGATGAACAATAGAATATAAGAATAGAAATCAACCAGAAATGCCACTACAGAAGAATCTTGAGCATCAGTATGCTTTCTTTTGCAAAAACAATGGAGGGGAAATAAACATATCCATACTTGCGCAGATCAGAACCAATATATAAAAGACTTGCACAAAAACCAAACGTTAAAAGAAAAACAAGGAACAATTATATTCTTGTACTAGTTGAGCATATTTTCTAGACTTCCTCGTTTGCTATTCAATAATGAGACAAAATTATGGAAAAGAGGGTTAAACAAAACATCAGTGAAATGAAATACGCTGCAATAACCCACAATTAAAAAAAAAGGAATTTGAACCAGTCTGTGACAGTTCAACTAAACTAATGCCAGCGGGTTTGCTCTTTGAGAAAAACAAACTCCCCTTTTTGAAGCCAAACAGCTTTGCTTTCCAGAGAATGAAGCAAAGAAAATAGGAGGGGATGAGGATGCAGAGAAGGTGAAAGTACAAGCAAAAGATCAAGTGGCAGTTCAAGGCCAAGTTTGCAGGCGAAGGCAGCGCTGGTAGTTTAGCCAAGCGCCAAGTGGGAGCATGAGTTGCAGAGCACGTGCCAAGGGCAAAATGGGTGAGAGAGAGTGAAATAGAGAGCGTGCGGAGCAGTCGTGTGAGCTGGTTGCATGAGTAGTGGCAGACACATGCAATCATGCACAGGACTAATTAGTGAACTGCGTGTGCAATCACACAAGACTCAGTATTCGTGAGTTAAAGGCGTACACAGTCGAGCAAAGCAGCTGAGTGCAATACCGAGCTGGTAAAAATAGCAACTCAAGGCTTGATCAAGTGAACATATGAGATCGGGCAAAGGATAGAACATTGCCATCCTTGAAGGTGAGAGTGACTTGAACCGTGGATCAGATTTTGGAGGAGTAAGTTTAGATTTTTATTGAAATCAAACTGATTAAAATATTTTACTAAGGTTTTAAAGTAGGTGAGGCCGAGCTCAAAAGGGATTTCGCCTTGTATTTCATTGTCAGTAGATAAACCCAAATTTTAGATTTATTTTGTTATTTTCGAAAGAGTTTTGTGTTGGATTCGAAAGAGTTTTGTGTTGGACAAAGTTAATTAACTTGAGCAAAGACTTTGCTAAAGAAACTATTAAAAAATATTATGTTGAGATAATATCATAAGAAATTCTCAAAATATGTTCTATATTATATGAATTTGTGGGCTCAATCTTTCACATGATTTATCCATTTTTTATTATGAATTCAATGTTAATAACCTTTCCGTTGCATGTTTAGGACCAAGTGAAAAAAATTTTAAATTATATTGCATTAATATTAATCATAAACATAATATAAAGGAGAAGTTTATTAGAAATATTATGAATCATTAATAACGTTATAATTGAGATACATAATAATTAGAGTTTGTTTGATTAGTTATAAAAAATTATGTATGGCGGAATTCTTAGTATATTTATTTAGAGATTTCACATGAAATTAATATTAAAGATACCATTTCTTGACATTGGAGATGATTAGTTCGCTTATAAAATGATAAATTGGATAACTTTAGCAAGTTTAATAACAATTAATAAGGATCACATAATTTACACTCAAAATTAGAATTGAAATAAGTTAAATATGAAGTCTTGTTAACTTCTTAGTTAAATATTTGAATACAAGTCCCTTGTATTGGTTCAACATTTATAATCCAATAAGATACCTACTATGAATATATTCTTAATAAGTCTTACTATAAATTATAATGATTCTACTTAAAATAAGTTAGTACTAAATAAATAACATAAGAATTAAACAAAAAAAATCATTTAATAAAAGTTGTAGTTATAATTAGTACTAATATAAAGAGTTATAATTCATATTAATAATTATAATAATAATAAATCTCGTAAATTCTTGTATCAAAGTTACATAGAATGTAACATTAATCAAAACTTGTGGTTCATAAGTTGATTTAGTGTCAAAGGGAGAAGAAATGATTGAGAATAGGGCTGTCAAAACGGCTCGTTGTTCACGAACAGCTCATGTTCGACTCGTTAAGAAGCTCGTGTTGGGCTCGTTAATTTCATTCGATAAGTTAACGAGCCGAACACGAACTACGCTGT